AGCTTCCTATCAAAGAACTGGGAGCGTGTAGTAGTAAACCTGTTAGCAGGGGCTAAATTGTGTTCAAGGCAGTCCAAGTAGCATATCTGCAAAGAATTTAGGTAACAGGGAGATCAATGAACCATGGGACATATAAATGAATACAAGTATCATGGTAACAATAAAAATAATGGATGCACCTCTGAACAGAGATGAAAATCAGGATGGAAGTTCTGTTGAAGTCATAAATATGTGATGGTAAAGGCAGACAGAATAGTGTTAACACCCTAGAAACAGAATAGTCCCTCTGTCCACAAAAGGATGCAACATGGGATTTGTGCTAATTGAAACATGTCATCAAATTCATACAGAATTTATGTTATGGTTATAGGTACAGGTGCTTGTAAATAGGTAAGGAAACGTGTGCATTGGCTAGGAAAAAGTGAAAGCAAGGAGATGGTTTCAATGCTTACAAGGATAACAATTGAGCAGCCATAAATGGTCGTGGTCACTTGGTCGCGGTTCTGCTTGTGCTACTTCTTAACGGCATGGCAAAGGTCAACGTAGATAAGGTGGCACCAATCAATTTGATCGAACTTCTCCATGTCATCTGTGAACTCGATTTCCCTGTTGGTGATTTCCCAACTAGCTGTCGGGAATAGCAGCCCTTGAACATGGCGAGGTAGAAACACCGCATCGTCAGGGCGTCCAAACCACCTCTTTTAACCCTATTAATACACAGCTGAACATCGAGGTCTTTTGGGTCATTGACCCCGAGTTGCTGCCTCAAAGAAACAGCAGCTTTCACCTTCTCTTGCCAGTTAGATCGTGGTAGCGAACCACCCGTACTAGGAAGCCCAAGCACAAGGCGCACAACCTCTTTGGTGATCTTGATCTTTCCAGGGCCAACATTCAGTGTCCTATCATCGGGATTGATGTGATCATAGAGCCAACCGATCAAATTTGGCCTACCAAGGGCATCTAAAGTGATGTCAAGTAGGCTTGAAAATCCCTTCTCCACAAGAAACACCCTACGTTGATCTTCACTCAACGCCTTAATGAGGGAAAGTACGTCTTTTGGTATACAACGAACATTCAGTTTCTGCCCAACCTGCAACAGAACAAGGGAATCATATATAACCATCAATGAGGTCATAGAATATGTCAATACCAACAAAAAAAACTTCGAAAAATGTGTAATGTAATGGGATACTAAATAGTTTATTTATAGCTGTGATGCGGTAACATGAGTTACAAACGAAAATAACTACTAGTATGATGGCACTGAAAACATTGCATAGATTGCTTATGCAAACAAATAAGGGGCAAAACGACATGATAAAAAATTCAGTACAGATTTAAGTCATCACTAACGGGCATGTATTGCAGAAATAATCAAATACTACTACCATGCCATATATCTACAGATAACAGTGAATAGATCCCAAACACGAACATCTATAGCAGGCTTAATGGCATTATAAATAAATAAATAATAGATTCTGGTTGGAACATATCAACAAAACAAGGGAAGCATATATAAAAATCAAAGAGATCATAAAAACCTTTATATACAACAGAACTTCAAAGAAGCCATGCGTAATCCACAGAATTCTTAACAAACTTACGCAGCCAGCAGGCGTAGATTGATTCTGTGCTTTCTGCTTTCTCACATTTGGTGACTCTGTCGGGCGGACATCATCCTAGGAAAAAAGGGACGAATATTAATTATGATTGGTAAGCCAGACAAGTCCTTTATGAATTATATTAGGTCATGTTTTGATCCCAGGGCTAATTACTAGCTAACCCAAATTAAATATAGTGCATTAAACAGGAGTGCTAATAGGTGGGCTACTTTTTTACGAAGTCTTCAACTACTGACAAAATAAACAACAGTAAACACGTACGCAGGCAGCGGGAGTGGATGGAATTGGGGATTTCCGCTTTCTCGCTCTTCCTGGCACTGGAGGTTCCAGTTCCACGTCGTCCTGAGTTTAAACAAGCAAAAAAAAAAAAGATTTCAAATGACGGAATGAAGGGGTAGAGTTTATACAACTGCTTTCGGATAGAAATTCAGACCTGGACCCTGACGGTACGGTCAGAAACCACCGGGGCCCTTTGCTGAGGATGCTTCTTGCGGCTGCCACGACAGGAAGCAGTGGAAGACCGGGTGCGCGGGCTTTTGCTCACCGGAGGCTCGGGAGATACGACACCAGGACCTTTACCCTTCTTGGGAGGCGGCATGAAGTCGTCGTCGCCACGCGGCCGAACCGCCGCGCGCCCACCGCGCGCCCAGCACAACCTCTTCCCATTCGTCTACCCAACCAAATCCTTTTATCGTCCATCGGGATTGGTAAATATCACATGGTCTGAGCAACATCAGCGCTGACAGAATCGACTGTGACTTCCTCTAGGACTGGGGGAATTCTTTTATCATCCATCGGGATTGGTAAATATCATGTTTGATTTGTGCTTCAGATTGGGGGAATGGTGGTGCGTTGCGTGTGTGTTGCTCATATTATTGTTGATTGTTTTGTATAGTTTTCTGTGAATTGTTTCTTCGAGACAGCTTTGATGAGTCTATGTGGACTTTTGTGCCTGCAATTGTGTAATGTTTCTTCATTCGACTTGCAGCGTATTTTTTTTCTATCCATTCCATGGTCAAGATTCTGATGTGGTCACTGTTTTATGTTTAAGCAGATATGATTCTACTGTGGATTGAAAATCCTCAATGGAAGTTTGTTGTTATGGTGTTCTTATAGTTTGCCTTCTAGTTGGCATTTTTGTTGTTGTTACGGGTTGTTATTATAGTTTGGCACCTAATTGGTAGCTTGTTATTTTTTATTGTTAATATTGTTGGTATTGTTGTTAGGGGTTGTTTTTATAGTTTGGCCCCTGATTGGCAGCTTATTTTTTATGTTGTTAGGGATTTTTTTATAGTTTAGCCCTTAGTTGCACTTATTATTATTTTTATTGTTGTTCATGTTGTTTTTATAATTTGGCTCTTAGTTACCACATTTTTGGGTTGATATTAGTGGTTATTTTTATAGTATGACCACCATTTGGCAGCTTGTTTTTTTTTATATGGTTACAATTAAAATATGGGAGTTTGTATTTTTGCTGCTTCCTAATTAGGGCCGTGACAGGTATAATGATTAGTGGTAATGATTTTAGGACCCTTTTAATTTAATTTGTCCTTATTTTTTTGGAAAAAAATTGCGTGCAAGCTATCTGCACCCGCGCCTCTATCAGACCCACTCGGATAGAGGCCACGTGTCCCAAAAAAGCTATCAAGTCAGAGGTGGTGCCTATTTTTAGTTGTCTATTTTTAATATTGTGAGGAGTTGCACCGTGCCGAGCCCACACCACTCTTGATCGTGTGATGAATTTTCTAGCACACGTGGCTTCCATCTGAGTGGGCCTGCATGGAGGTGTGGGTGCAGGCAGCCTGCACGCAATTTTTTTCCTAGTTTTTAGTCGTGTTTTCTGCAACTGTATTTTTCACGTAAAGAATATGGTTTTTTTGCGATAATGATAGAGCGACGGTCATGCCGAAGAAAAGAAGGATCGTAACGATTCCTCCAACGCTCGCCATTTTCACACCGCTGCTCCCCATCTGCCACCGCGTGCCTCGGCTGCCCTTGCCCTTGCTGCCTGCCTCAGGCCTGCTAAGCGCCCGAGACGGACGACGACCTTTTGCCCCAGCCTACCGCCTACCGCCCACCCACACTCCTCCCTCCCCCCCCCAAGAATCTCCATTGTGACCCCGTGCTCCTAGCGACCCGGCTCTCGCTCCCCCACCGGAGATGGCAGCGGCTCTGATGAGGTAGGTCGTTTCTTCTCTGGATTTGAGCCCTCCTTCTCCTCTTCTGGATCTGAGCCCTCCTCCTCTAATAGATCTGAGGGACGCGACGGTGGCTAGAGTTCCAGCGAGCTATGAGGTCCCTCCTCCTCCCTCCGGCGAGCTCGAAGGTGATGGGCCAGGGGCTGAAGCAGCCTGCACCTCGAACCCATCCCTTTGTGTTATACGTCCTTGCTGTTTCTCTGTGTTGCAATGAGATTCTTAGGTTGTTACAACACATGATGTTCGAATACTGTAACAGGTAATTCATGTGCTGTAGAAAAGGAGTTCTAATATTGAGATTGCATTTTCCTCCTAATTTGCAACATGTGAGTTTTAACTTTTTCTACGTGTTGTGGCGAGTGATTTTAATTGTTAAAATTACCTTTTTCAAATGTTGCAGCACTAAAGGTGATTTGAGATGTTTCCATTTCTATGTTTCATGGTTGATTTTTTTACCATGTTCGCTTGTCTTATAATCCGTACTTTTCAGCTTGTTTTTTCAACCGGAACAGTATTTTCCTCTCACAACAAATCAGCCGAAACAATGTTTCGGCTTTTTTCTAGCGAAGCGAACGGGGTCTTTGATGTTGTAGTACTATTGTTTGAGATGTTACACTAGATAATTTTCGATGTTATAGTATATAATTTTTTATATTATACTATATAGTCTTATGACGTTGCAATATTTATATTCTGATGTTGGAGCGTAGTTTTCCATAATTTGCGATTTGGTGCTCTTGGAAACGGAGCGCGGTAGAGGAACGAGAACAGGGGCGTGGTGGAGAACGGGGCACGGGGACCTGCGTTTTTTTTTTCTCCGATTCTATCCATCCATGGCACACTCCTGGAGTCCTGTTCCGCATCTTCTCCTCGGAGCAACGCCGCCTCGCGTATCAGGATCACCCGAGCAGGCTAACAGCACGCGTGGTCATCTCTAGGCTGGAGGACGCCGGCGGTCGCTTCCATCCTCTCCGCCTCCGCGCTCCGCTCACCGTTCATGGGATGGGAAGCCTCTTACCTCTTCGTCAGCGGCCGCTGGGGCACCGGCTCCCCGACCTCCTCCGCCTCGCTCCAACGCTCCCTCACCGCCGCCAGCAAGATGGAAAAACAGTTTAGGCGCGCCACATCTCAGAAAATGACCGCCGCCTAAGCGCTCCCTCACCATTGAAGCTTCATCATGGCCGCCACATCCGTCAAGGTCGCGCGCCTCACCACCCTAGCGCTCTTCTCTCTGACTCCAACCCCCTCCGGTCCGAAGTCCACCAAGCACAGAGCTAGAGCCCCACCACCCATCTCCATCTCCATGGATCCGGCCCTTGTGGACCCAGCCCACCTCCAGGCCCTTATGCTCGCCTGCGCCCACTCCTGCGCGCTCCGCCTCTCGCCGGCGCTATCAGTTTCCGCCATCGAGCCGGTCGACCTCAGCAAGCTACGGACTGCCCTTGCGCACAGCTTCATCGTCGTATCTGTCTTCTGCGGCGCTAGGTTCTTGACACACGACGGGTAAGGGGAGGGGGAGGGACAGAGATTCTTGGGCTTGGAGCTCGGGCTCGAGCGTCAGGGGGAGCGGCGGCTTGTCGGATTCGGGCGCGCCTTCTCCGACCTCGGGCTCACCGCATCCGTCCATGACGTCGTGGTAATCTTCTCTTTTGCAGTGAAATTGACCATGGGAGCTAACCCTGATTGTGGGTAGAAACTGCTAACTGTGTGAAACCCCTACTTTTCTGTTCTGTTCTTGATAACCTCATAGGCATTTACTTGTTTTCCATCTGACATTTCTTGCAAAGATTCTAATTTTTTTCTTTTGAATTCGTGAAGACATTCTGGATATAGTATCTGTTGAATGGTGGATGCTACATTGCTACTATGCTAGAGAAAGTGTTTAGTTGATTGAATACCATGGAACATTAACCAAAACAAGTCCATGTTTGTTTCAGTTTGCAGATTGTGGATTTTAGCCTGCAGGTTGTTACGATCTGCAAGTTGAAACAAAGCAGCCATAGATTCTGTCAATCCACTGGCCAGATTATTACGATCCAAATCCAACAATCTGCTTCCTACAAGTTGCAGAAGGCAACCCACAATTTGCAAGACAAACAAACAGGACCTAAGAATACATAGCCTTGTAGAAATAAATAGTGCTTTTGTTGCAAAACTTGCATGTAACCTTTCTGCATTGATGTACTTCTTTCTGTGCTTATGCATCATTAGTGTGTTATCTTGTACAAATCAACTAACTGTAACTGCTAAGTGAACTTCTTGCGCATTTATATTGAAAGTTTCTAAGTAGCATTAAGTACAATGTGGCAAGTCTGTTTTGAATTAATTGTAATGAATTTTAGGCATTAAGGTGTGTAACACCTAATGACTAATGCAGCAGTGTTGCTTTGATATCTCCTACTTCTATTCCAAAACAGGAAAAAAACTTATAGCCCTGTCACATGTGTTCATATAACTATTTTCAGTGACTTCCAGGTACATCCATCACTACAGAGGAGAGGAATTGGCCGAAAGATAGTGAACAAAATTACAAGGTAACTTGCTGATTTACCATAAAAAATGTTCCACGTGATCACACTAAGTAAAATGTGCAAACTAGCTACACCGGAGCATCAGTGCATTATGTTCCTGTTGCAGATGCTATTGATCACATTAGTATGATAGGTCCTACGTATGAAGCATAACTGTTGGTTGTTGCCTACAGAAACTGAGTGATTTTTCTAACCATATATGTGTTCCACTCAAATGATCAATTATTTTGAATCAAGTAATTGTAGGTAAAAGATGAATACATGCAGTTTAAGATGATTCAGCGATTAGTAAAAATACTTGTAATCTGTGATAATTGTTTTCTGGTAAAAAGTTATGCTTCATCTGATACATTGCTTGAAAATATCTGCAGGGTACTTCATAGCAGAGGTATATATGACATCTCTGCATTATGTACAGAAAAGGAGAGGTATGGCATTGTTATCTAGTTTTGCAGACATCACGTGAGTTTCATTGTTTTGTGCAGTTTTAATGCCATACCGTTTCTCACTCTATGTGGAGTGCTTAATCTTCACCAATATATGATGATATTTATTCATATATTATGGTTCCTTTTGTAGGCCCTTTTTTGAAGCTTGTGGATTTGGTGATGATATGATGGGTTCAACAACAATGTTGTATACTAGAAAAGCACACAGATAGAGTTCATTAAAAAAATTTTTGCCAATTGGCATAATGTCCTTGGTTCATATGGTTACTTATCTGTTGGTCTTCACTGCTGATATTTGAAAGCATTACTGCCAGAGAAGGGAGTTATGAGATGCAGCAGTTATCTCAATGTGCACACCTATTGGAACAAATAACCACAAGAATTTGGAGAAGCCATTTTATGCCATGTTAATATGTGTGCAAAATAGCATTACCTAGTGTTTTTTAGCTACCACAGACTGAAAAATTCACTGTGATTCAGAGAGATATAGATATTTTACCTCTTTTTCACAATTATTTTGTACATGTTAACACAGCTGTTTGCAAATATGCTTGAACAAAGAGTATATCATAAGGAGCAAACTCTGAACTTTTATATGTTCTGGATTCATGTAAATATGTGATTGGGGTGGATTTGGGTGTGCGTGTGTTGGGGGGAGGGGGCAGGGGGGAGGGAGGGCTTGATTATTTTTTTATGAGGATTTGGATCACGATTTAGAAGAGCGGGTCTGGTGCAAGCGGCATAGTCTTACCGCCTGTGACTGGAAGGTCCCGGGTTCGAGTCGCGGTCTTCTCGCATTGCACAGGCGAGAGTAAGGCTTGCCATTAACACCCTTCTCTAGACCCCGCACAAAGCGGGAGCTCTCTGCACTGGGTACGCCCTTTATTTGGATCACGATTTAGGACCCAATTGAAATAAGCCCTTATTGGTATACTGCAATCTCCTGTGGTCAATTAGTTTGCTGCTACAACAAAAAATGGTAGAGGAAGAACCAATTTGATCGCTTAATCAAGAGAGATATAATGTACATTTCCAGCTACATTCACAAGGATTGAAGGGAGGTTGATACAGATCAGTTCTATCAGATGTCTTCTAATGGATTATTCTACAAATCGAACAATGCAATAGAGTTCCAATTAGAACCCTAAATTTTCCACAATTAAGAGCTGCCAATCTATAATTGTTCTCTTGTGTTACTACAATTTCTCTTCTTATCTCCAGTCTGTGAATCTGTGTTTGCATGTAGAGATCATACAGAATTCATCATACAGCTGCTTGAAATACTTGTTCATTTGGATTTGCAAACATTGTCCGTAGAAAATTTTCAACAACAGACAGGAATTCCTCAGGTCTTTCTTCCTGGGGCAAGTGACCGCAACTCTTGATCACCTCAAACGTTGCTCCAGGTATAGCGCGTGCTACACGCTCAGCATTCCAAGCAGGAACGATGCGGTCAGTGTCACCTGTCACCACTAGCACTGCAATGATATGGCAAATTATCAGAATTCAGGATTAATTCTTTTACGAGTCCCATATTACATTACTCTAAATCCTTATCTAGAGGTTTTCAACAAAAAAAATGTTTCTTCACAGAAATACATTACCACAAAATTTTGTGGAGCGGTAGAACTAGTTTCTCTTAATTGTAGGTTCTCAAAAGAAAGAAAGAATAACCTGGGCATGAGATCTCAGAAAGCCTCTTTGAAACTGGTACTCTTGATGCAGACGCAGAATCTATGATCATGGATATGGTGTGCTCCAGAAGAGCTGTCTCCCAGCCTTTGGATTTTAGAGGCTGAAAAGGCCAGCAGAGTTTTCACATATAGTACAACACAATAACAATTTGATAGTTGGAGAGTTCTACTAATTAAGGCGTGGAAATCTCACCTTTGTGTAACCTTGTATGACATGATCAGTTACTTTGCTTGGGTCATACCATGCATTCCGGACACCCAATACACCAAATTTATCCATCACCCATCTTACCTAGGTCACCGAAGTGCAACCATGAAGACATAAAATTTTGAATGCGCCCATGAACATATATCGAATAAAAATTCTTGTGTTGAGTAAACATCTTCTTTTGTGCACATTTTAAGATTTCGAAACTCTATAACTTCCTAGCAGTACTGATTCATGTATCATCAGGAAATTAACTAGACTAGTTAGCACTCAAACAGATTTCAGCTTATTAAACCAAAGTAAATAGTGCAAGTGGAGCATCTGATCAGCTGTTGGCTTCAGAGTACACTAATAATAGCAGCTGCACAATGCTACAGTTGCTGAAGTCTAAAACAAATTAAATTTGGGATTCTATAATTCTGAGCCAGTAAACCTAATAAAAAAACAAATTGTTTGTTAAATTTGCAAGTAGGTTAGGAATTAGCTCCCCCAAAAAAAAACACTTACCAGTGCTGCACCCAATGATGACCGAAGAAAAGCAACCAGAGCTTTAATACAGAAAGACCGAACCACACCTTGTATTGCTGTAACAATCTTGAAAACAAGCCCTGCAATGTGCTTCCATAGCTGAAGAAATCCTCCCCAAATCCTAGCAAACAAATTTGGAGGCGAATTTTCATCACTGGGAACGTTCTGTGTTTGCTGCGCTTCTTGATCCCCTGACTGGTCCTCTTTCACCACCTTCCTGGGTGCAAATATAGCCGGTGCAACTAGCACAAGAGCAGCCACCCGTTCCGGTGCCTCAAAGTATGCATTCACTGCTACAAGGCAACCAGCTGAGTGCCTGGGACAATGATCATCATACACGTCCATATAATCATCACACGAAAGCAATGCAGATAGACAGAGCTAGCTAGAGAAGCAAGCAATTCAGATTTGGGATTAGTACTAGTACCCAACAAGTATGGCCTTCTCAGCGCCAAGGTAGTCGATGAACGCCAACGTGGCCATGACCGAGAACGCCATGGAGTACGGATTGAGAGGCTTGGCGTCATCAGCGGACCAGCTGGCCCGGGATGTCAGCCCAAACGCCGGCCGGTCGAACGCAAGAACCTTGGCACGGACCATGCGGGCGAGAGGCCGCATCACACGGCTCCAGGAGAAGACTGACGCGCCGAAGCCGTGCAGCAGCAGTATCGGCAGGCCAATCTGGCTTTTCCGGACAGCGTCTGAGGCAGTGGTGATACTACCCGAGGATTGGTCGCTGGACGAGTCCTCATCCTCATCCTCATGGCTGCAAACCTTGTGGTGCAGCCTCACGCCGTTGATCTCGTAGAAGCTGCTGTCGGGGTCGGCAAGGGCGTCAGGTTCGAGGAGCTCGTCCTGGTCGATGCCGGCCACGCTCCGGCGCCGCCGCTGTCGGGGCGGCATCTGAGCGCTGTCTGGAACGGAACCTGCATTTGGTCCGGCGGGGTTCAGTACTGTCAAGCTGGGGGTGAGTGATTGGGTAAAGTGCAGTCTTTTCGCTGCCGACAGCGACAAAATTCGCAGCCCAAGATGGTGGGACGGAGGAAAATAGAAATGTGAGAGATACTGTATTATTGATCCAAGAAGACTACTACACCGTCTTCCTTGCTGGGCGCCTATCTATGAATTCCAGAGATGGATAAATTCTTCCTCGAAGCAAGAGAGAATGATATACCTGGGAACTCAGCCGAGGCGGAGGCTGCAGGAGGACCGGCCGGCCTGCGCGCGAGGAGCAGTGACTTCCTGGCGGGCGCAGCGGCGAGGAGCTGGGCGGCGGCGGGTGGGGGCCGGAGGGAGGGTAGCATTAGCAGCATCTGCATCTGATTGATCCGGCATTCCGGCGGCGGGAAGCCCGTTGTCTGCGAGCGCAAGAGATGGGATTTGGTCGGTCCCACATTGCAGCCACACACACACAGTTGTCTGGAAACTAGCCATACGTTATTAGCGCATTATCTAAAAAAAACAAAGAATAATCGTGTTTTTTTGGATGGCAACAATTATCGGTTGCTATCGCAGATTATGATGGCTTGAGGTGCCTGCTAATAGCGACAATGCTTCTGGCTTCTGCCGTTGCTGATTGCCTCTGCTATAGATTACTTGTTCAACCAAAAGACTCAGATTACTTTTTGTTCTCTTCTCAACCGTAGCTGCCGTACCTAATGCGAGTTTGATGATACGTACCTAGGAGGAAGTGTCACAGAGCCAACTTAATTATATGGCTCACTCGCACCTATCATTATCTTAAAGACCTTTAACTACTGCACATGAGAACCAGATAATTTGATAGTGTATCGAATTATCCACATTTTACAACTCATACATGATCAATATGGAGTTACCATAATATTACAACATTTGGTACAAAAATATCTTACCTCAGAGTGCGAAAGACTTGTACCAATAGTTTATATAACATATTCAAGTCATAACTTAACTTGAGTTCAAAAGGTGAGTAGAATTGCGGAAGCAACTTAAGTCAAGCATCTAAGGTAGAGGAGACAGCCAGATCATGTCGAGCCCATCGACACGACCTCAATTAGCAGCACTAGTCAGAACCTACAACAAGGGTTAACAAACCCTGAGTAATTGAGGGCACTCAACAAGTCTTACCCGACTAAAAGAAAAAAATTCAAGGATATGAAGGCTTAAGAAAAGTTTGAAGCAAGAATTACTTTTGTAGAAAAGCTTACTATAAGTGGATCCTAACTTTTAATGTTTTAGCTTTGTATTAAGTCATTAAGGTATCCAGTTTGCACCTAATCTAAATCAATCACTTTTTTAATCATCTTATCTTATATCCATAAGTAATCATGTTCCTTAGATTAACTACGATGTAGAGCAGAGAATTGAGTCTTCTTCTCTGCGAAGCAACGGTGATTCAAATCGATTGGCCCAGCTGGGGTTTCCTTACCACACGACATATGCAGGTCTAGGCCCGGACCCGAACCTACATATATCAACTTTCACTCAGATCCTTGTTGATGGTAGTTAACAACCATTATAAACCGGTAATGTAACATGTATAAGGGCATAAATATAATCATCAATGAAGGTTTAGGGGTTTAAACTAACAAATTCCATGAGTTTTGGTGAATCTGTATTTTGTACAGAGTTTATCCAGAAAACTATCAAGATGGACCTACATGTCAGATTTAATTATGCTTATCCGCAGCGAAACGGACACCAGAAGACTCTAGAAGATACGGGAGGACTCCACACCGAAGCGGAGGGCGAGACATCGCCACCTATAAGCCGCCCAGCCCCTGGGGCCTGTCAGCCCCTCGTTGTTATGTCGGTTCTCCACCGCCTCCTAGTTTGCATCTACGCCGTTCTTTAAGTCGGTTTGATAAGGGCTCACGTTGGATGCTCTGGCCTATATATACCAGCCCCTACCACCCCCTAGAAGCCATAAGTCATTTGAGAAGACATAAACCCTAATCATCCTCAGAGCTTCACCATATTCTAGAGCATAGCTAGTTAGGCTAGGTCTACAGGGAGACAATTAGGCTTCACTTGGATTCCCGATCTTGTTAAGAGCGTGGTTTGATATAATCTTTGTACCCCTCTCTCTTTTATATCTCCATTACTTTTATATGCTAGTTACAATTGTTATGACAATATTAGTATTCATCTTATTCATGTTCTTTGTTATAATGTTCATGATCTACTTTGATTATATGGTTAGTATAGTTGGATTATCATTATGTCCATGCATAAGTTCGTATAGCGCTCACTCTAAGGATCCACGGGTGGGTGGTCGACATTATGTAAGCGTGGTGCTTATACGTTGTTTACCTGTAGATATACCCTATATTCTAGGTCATGTGGTAGATCGCGGATGTGACACTCCTGTTGAGTCCTTTGTAGTCCACTCCCCGAATATAGGCGCATGTAGGGTTCGGTTACGAAGGAAGAGCAAGCTCTGTTCTTAATCTTCCTTAGTAATATCCCTTATATATAGATATGGCGATGATCTTATCAATGATTACTTGGGATAATTGTACTAATCAATGTATGCTTTGACGTATAATTAAGAATGACTTAGAAATTATTCCTCTAATATTCTATCTGACCATGCTAATGCCATAGAAAGGAGTACTTTAAGTGATTTATCATTATCATTGATCAATACTTATCATATATATATCCTATGATTTACCCCTGTTATGAGTAGAATATTGGTTATGGTTTACTTCTCCTTCAATAGTATAAGTTATCAATACATGTCTATGCTAGACCTTTCTTATGGTAAAAATATAAATAACGATACCTAGAATACTCTTGGGTAAAATGCTACAATAGTATATTATCTGTGCGCTTACAGATCCTTTTTATTCATATATTTATTCTTCCTAGTCACATAATTAATAAAGAACTGCTTAGTATTATTCTAGTAGTAATATTATATAATACCAACAAGTATATCTGATATCATCACAGGGATGACAACCTAGTAAAATTAGGAGATATAGGTTTATATTAGGTGGCTATTTAAAAACAAGTGACACGTTAATAAATACCAACAAGCATTTCTGGTGCTGTTATTAGGGACTAGATTTAAAACTCTATTCTTAGTAGCGACGCTAAGAAATGTCAACAAGCATTTTTGGCGCCGTTGCCGGGGAAGGTAGCTAGGCAAAGGAAGTATTGATAAACTAATACTTATTGATGTGATCGAAGATAACCATTGACCTCTGCTCAAACAGGCTTACCCTTGTTTTGTCTACTTGTGTATTTTATGCAGGATAATGTATGACCGGTTTTGACCTTCTGACAAACTATATTGAAGATCCAGAAGCATTAATCAGAAAGACCAGAGCTAAACTTAAGAAAGTTCCAGCTTTAAAGTCGAAAGACAACCATATAAGACGAAGCTTAACACTAGAATTTGAAGCTATGGCTAACAGGATTCTTCGTGATTTCTCTGCTCCAACTACGGCCAACATCCGTACTGGACCAACAGTCAATGTTGGAGACAATGGATTCAAGCTCAAGCTAGCTCTCATCAACATGGTGCAAGCAAACCAGTTTTGTGGAAAGGCACATGAAGATGCGAGTACACATCTCCAACACTTTCTAGAGATTTGTAGCACTTTCACCATCAAAAGAGTAACCTAGGATGCCATATTACTTCGCCTCTTCCCATTCTCACTCTTAGGGAAGGCAAAGCAGTGGTTCTACGCCAACAAAGATAGAAATACTACATGAGATAACTGCTACACTGCCTTTCTAGCAAAGTTCGTTCCCACAGGCAAGACCAATGCTCTACGTGGGAGAATTTCAAGCTTTTAGCAACAACATGATGAATCTATCCCTGAGGCATGGGAACGCTTTCGAGATTACATTGCGGAATGTCCTCATCATGGGATGGAGAATTGGCTACTCATTCAGACTTTCTACCACGGGTTGACCAACAATACCCGTGAGACTATGGATGCTGCTGCTGGAGGTGCATTCCTATGACTCACCATACCAGCTGCAACAGGTCTTGTGGAGAAGATGGCCTCCAATCAAGGTTGGAATGAAGAACGTTTTCAAACTCGCAAGAGGGGTGGAGGTATGCATCAACTCAAGGAGGTAGACATGCTATCTGCCAAGATAGACCTGCTGATAAAGAAGCTTGAAGATCGAGCCAATGAGAAGCAAGAAGTCATGCATATTCATGATTCTCGCATAACATGTGAAGTGTGTGGAAACATTGGGCATTCAGGAAATAGTTGTCCTGAAACCAAGAGGATGTGAACTTTGTCAACAACAACTACTTTCATCCTCAGCAAAATCAAGGATGGAATTAACAATAAAGGCCGAACTACCAAGGTAACTATCAAGGTAATAATTTAAATAATTTCAATCAACTACCCATGAGAGAATTAATTGCTCGCCAATCCAAACTTATGGAAGGATTATCTAGAAAGGTAGCTACCAATGATAAAATTCTAGAGAACATAAATAATAGAAAGGATAGCTTTGCTTCTGTCATTAAAAACCAGCATAGCTTTAATAAAATGATAGAATCATAAATAACTCAGCTGGCTGCTTCTATTCCTCCATCCGACAAAGGTAAGATTCTAGGGCAACTGGAAGATCTAGAAACTACAAATCTTGTCGATATTCACAATGCATCATATTACTATATACAACCATCTATGAGAAGGTGGATAGACTATACCTTGCCAGAAAAGAAGAGCGATCCAGGGAGACCTATCATCCCCATCGCCATTAGACCTCACATTTTTCAAGAAGCTGTCTATGACTTCGGAGCAAGTGTCAACATCATGCCTAAGGTAATTTATGATCTGTGCTCGAGTTTTGGTGTTCTTGTTGGAGTATTTTGTAGGATAATCAAGAGTAAAACCATTCATACAAAGTACATTTTCCCAAACTATCACTACATTCACTGTACGAGGAACACAACTTCTGGACAGATGAGAAAGACTTCTACTGGTAGACTTACTCTAAGAAAGACCACGACAACATCTAGCTTGAGGGAGGAGCACCCCCCATGTATTTAGATAAGTATTTCTTTCCCTTTGGTTTTACTAATAAGTTTGCTTCATATTAGTTAAAATAAAAAGATGCATAATAAACAAAAACAAAATAATTTTTTTTATCTTAGCTATATAATAGTAAGGTGTGATCTTAAAAATAAAAACAAAATAAAAAGTATGTGTCTAGTTTGATTTTTAAGAGCTAAATAAATAAATAAACTCTGAGGATAATCTCTTGCAATGGAAATAATGAATAGTTGCTCTGTCGTAATTTCTTTCAAGTACCTAGTTTTTAGCCTTGAATTCTCCCAAGTTTTGGATACGACTATTTT